TATTAGTATTACTATAATATAATATATATATATATTTTTTTAATATTCAATTAAGAGTTATGATTGTATAAAAATTGTAGAAATATATATAAAATAATTATATTCAATTAAGGTGGTGTTTGCAAAAGGTTATTAAAAATCAGAAGTTGGTGATCGTGAGTTAAGTGTTTATTTTTAAAAGTTGGGAGTTGCAAATTACCTGGAAAATCAACTAAAACAGAAAAGGCATGTACGTTGGTGAGTAGCTTATTTCAAGAAAAGCAAAAGCAAAATTTGTTTTGTAAACACCTAAAAACAAATTATGTGCAGAAAAAAAAAAACTCAGAATTCTATTTTTAATAGCATTTGCAAACACCAACTAAGAGTTAAGACTGGGTAAACCAAATTATAAGAACCAAACTTGTTTGTAACCGAAAACTAGTATTTCTTCCCGTGCACTGCACGGGATGGGATAGCAATTAAAAAGCGAAAGAATAATTCAAATACATAACAATAACAATTATAATTAAAAAAATATATTACATTGTTATAATATACTACGTGTATGGGATAGCAATTAAAAAGCGAAAGAATAATTCAAATACATAACAATAACAATTGTAATTAAAAAAATATATTATATTGTTATAATAAAACGTAGTAGTGATATTTAGATTATAGTATTCATACAAATCTGATATTACAAACACACTTCTTATCAAATTATTTTTCATTTTAATTATATGGCATATAATAAAGAGAAGTAAGTTCTTTTTTTTTTTTTTTTTTTTTTTTTGCGCAAATGTTTAGAATTTAGAAATGTCAACATCAATCATGTGGAAGTTCTTTCAAATATGGCATCACGTCAAAAAATATTTTAATTCAAGTATTTGTATAAATTATATATAAAATAAATGTATAGTTATTAAAATTATAAATTCGACATTTATTAAAATTCTAAATTCGCTATTCAAACTATTAATATTTTCAAATTTCTTATTCATTTATAGAAAGAAAAAAAAATTAAAAAAACAATGAAATTTTCTATGCCTTATTTTATAGATGGATTCGAGGTGCTCTTGTTTTGTAGTATATGCTAATGATTATTTGACTCTTAAATCCCATTTCTCTTGATAATTTGGAAATATTTTATTAATGGGCTTGCGTTTTAATATTTATACTCCTATTTTATTTGTTTGAACAAAATATTTAAAAGTAGCAACACACATAGATTACATCCCCAATCAATTGTCAAACATTTGTAATTTAGTAGTTTGGCTTAATTCCACTTTGTAATCTTGAAATCTAGCATTTTGATACTATATACATCTTTAAAAAAAATTAATAGCACTTTGCATCATTGAATTACATTATATTATTCACAATGCACCATGAACTAAATATTAAAATGCTAAAACAATAAAAATCATAACTAATTACTGACAAAAAAAAAACTATATTTTCTCTAAAAAAATAATCTCACTATATTATTCGATTGATGGATTTTTTTTATTATAATTAGTGGTATAAATTTTTTGAAGAAACTATAATTTTCATATAACTTGATACCTAAATAGTCCAAGTAAATTTATTTTTTTATCTTTTGTGAAAAAAAAAAAGTTAGTATGTATATGGGATATATTTGTATTTTTGTATTTTGTAGTTTTATTATTTAACTAAACTAAACAATATATACACACACTGTTAAACAAACTTTATACCCAATATGAATTAGTCTCACTAACTATTATACTTAGTTTAGCCTTTTGGATTACCATTTAAATTGCAAGTGGTGTTTTTTTGTGTTTGTGTATAGCATGTAGGTCATACTTGATTAAGCAAATCAATTAACATATATAATTATTTGATATATGTCCTCTCAGGCTGATTTAGTTGATGAAGTACAAACAATTTGGTTTCAAATGACTCAAATTCAAATCATCTTACCAAAGTTTTTTCAGTCGACTTTGTCACACATAACAGTATATTTAGAGGGTGTTTGACTAACCTTATTTTAAACAACTGAGAAGCTTTTACATCTGATAAGATATTTTTAGAGCTGATAAGTTGTTATATCTTATTTTTAGTTATTTTTAGGATTAATTTTTAGAGTGCTTGGATAATGAGCTTATTTCTTATTTTTACTTATTTTAAGATCTTAAATAAAAATGTGGGATATATGTATTTTTCTTAAAAAATCTTATTTGCTCTCCAACAGTTTATTTAAAAAAAAGTAAGATTTGTTTTTAAAAAAAATTATCAAACACTTTAGAAGAGTTTATAAGCTCTAAAACGTTTTATAAGTTTAGCGAAACACACTCTTAGTGTAACTATATTTAATGTATTTGAGTAGTTAATTTGAAATTAAAACCTTAACGATTTTTAAAGTTCTCGTAACACCATGATAAATACCTAAAAGACAGGTGATACTTTCGTGCGATTTGCAGGCTATTATTGCACAAACGCGTGATTTACACAATACAACCTATAACTATTGGTTTGGCAGATATGCACAAGGTCCTCAACCTATGAACCAAGTAGACTTATTTCGAGTATGCACACCACGTGTGCAAGTCTTATCCAGCTTACACTAGAAAAAAATTAAGAATCAAATAATTATAAAAAACACATGTTACATGTATGTGTGACAATACCATGTAGATAAGCATGGCTAATTATGTACTTTATCAAATTGATTAGTGCATAATTAAAAACTACTAATATATTAATATGCTTCAAATAAGATACAGTTAAATCTCTATAAATTAATACAGTCGGACTAGGGAAATTCAATTAATTTAGCGAATTATTAAATTATCGAGTTAACAATTTCACACGTTTTCACCAAGATGGGACCGAGAGAAATTATTATTTAATTGAAATTATTAATTTATCGAGTATTAATTTATCGAACATAGGATGGCATAACAGTTGGAGCAAAGTGAACACGTATTAATTGACACATATTCAAATCTCATTGACAATAGTTATTGCATGGAGTTTGTCACACATGGTTAGCCTAATTTAATTTATGTCTTTAGTATAGTTTGCAAGTTATTATACGAGAGTGCACCTATATTGTTGGTTGCAGGTTCCTTTATTCCCATTTTTGCTCATCTTTTAATCATTAAAATTTTATAGTAAATAAGGTTGAGGCATTTTGTATTATTTTCCATAAATCTGCTTTATTTTTTTCTTTTTTTCCGAACACTGACACCGACTCGCTGTCAATGTGTAGTTCACACTCTAAAATTTTCGTCTCAACAAATTATTTTTAGTTCTATACGTGGAGATTTTGAACGCGTACTAGATTAGAAAAACTCGTCACCGAATTTTCTTTTCCGAACGAAAATAAAATTATTGTAAAATAAACAAAACAAAACAAAATTTTCACTCTCGATGGATATAAACAATGTATGAAAATAAATAAATGCAAAACCTTTTCAATCCACAGTGTTTAGATTCATCAATTCCATTGCAATAATATCAGTCACGTAAATCTTATGCTTCCAAATGATGCTTTCTAAAGCGAATCATGAAATTACATAAACACCTACATAAATTGAGAGTAACTTTTACATTTTCATTGTCTGCGTCCAGTAATAAAATGTTATACAAAATAATAATAAAAATAATAATAATAATAATAATAATAATAATAATAATAATAATAATAATAATAATAATAATAATAATAATAATAATAATAATAATAATAATAATAATAATAATAATAATAATAATAATAATAATAATAATTAGGAAGTGGTTTTTGGGCTAATTAAAAAAAAAGGGTAAATTAAAACCACCCCTGAGGTATGGTCAATTTACGAAAAAAACCCTCTTGTTTGGATAATTACATCTACCCCTCAACTATGATTTTTTCTTACACCTCCACTCTTATGGTGTCAAATTCAACATAATCATCTAGATTTCATGGAATGTGCTCTAGTTTATACTCATTTTGTGTAAAAATACAGTTTCTGATGCATCACAATCTAATATATACAAGCCAAAAAACACATATTATGATCATCTTACTTCAAAATGTGGAGTTCGAATTGGATAAAACGGTTACAAAAGTGATAATATTCCATATTATATCGAAGATTCCACTAAATTTGAAACTGGATTAGTAGTTGAGGGGGTGATTGTAATTACCCAAACAAGAGGAGAGTTTTCGTAATTTAACCATACCCCAGGAGGTGGTTGTAATTTACCAAAAAAAAAAAAAAAAGTTAATGGTCAACACTAGTCAAAATTAGATGGCAAAGGTCATTTCTGGAAAACAGAAAAAAAAAACACGCAGTAAAAAGTGAAAAATTGTAAATGAAAATAGAAAAAGAAACGCTGAGCCGCTGAGTAGATCTGTAGATAAAACCATAAATCAATGACGTCTTTTTCTTCGGACCAAAAATCAATTATCCAGCAAACCCACCCCCCTCGCCCCCCACCCCCACCCCCACCCCCACCCCCTTCTTCTTCTCTCTCTCTCTTTCATAATCAATATCAAAGACATCTTTTTGGTAAATGATCCATCACTGTACTTTGTGCATAAAAGAAGAAGAAGAAGAAGAAGAGGGGTCTTTATTAAATATTTAGTTACCACCACCGTCGTTCTCAATTGCTCGGATTTCATGCATCATGTTTTTCTATCTCTGTAAGTTTAGATTTTATTTTCCAGCCCCTAAATATCCGTTCTTTGCTTTTTTCCCCCTGTTTTTTCGGGTTCCCCTATTTTTCCGGGCTTTTTCAAACCTGGTTTGAATTATATTTCTTTCCGGAGGAATTAATTTAATAACGGAGACGTTTTTTTTTTTTGTTTTTTTTTTTTGAAAATTTCAACTTTCAACGGCGAAAATGGAAGTTTTGTGACCGAGAAAAATTCAATTGCGACCGGATTCCGTTTGGAGAAAGCGAAATTTAATGATTTTTATTTTATTTGGGGTTAATTGTTGTGAAACAGTAGAAATGAATTGACGAAACCCTCGTTTTTCTGCAATTGATTTTGCAGAAAAAAAAAAAAACAAATTTTGAAGACCCATGGATTCCTCGGCAATGACAACCGACGGCGTTGTGGAAGAGATAATGAGGCTGCACAGATCATTGCCGCCGCGCCCTGGTATAGAGGAAGTAGAAGCTGCCGACACTCTGATCCGAAACGTCGAGAGGGAAGATCAGTTGAGACTCGACGCAATTTCGAAGCAGAGGAAGGGTAAAGATGTCCCCGAAGAATTGTTCAAGATTCTGCAGGAGATTCAGCGCACCATGATCTATTTCCAGAGCAAGGAGCAAAAGAGTGAAGCTCTCAAACTGCTGGATCTCGAGAGCGTCCACCTGGTGTTCGACGATTTGATTCAGAGAGCTCCCAAATGCTTGCCCGGGTATTCGGGCCCGGATGATTACCCGGAACCCATTAAACCCTCGTACCCCTCTTCGAACAACAACAGTCTGAGTTCTACTATGAACACCATGGCAACTACTGCACCGTTGAATTCTTCGAGTTTCTATACCGAGAAGAAGGAGAATTCGAAGGCTAAAGATGTCTTTTACGCCAAGGATGATTCGTATGTGAAGAAGACAAAGGCAGCCTTTAATGTTGACGGTATGGGTTTCGGTGTTCGGTCCGTAGATTTTTCGACCGCACCCCAGATTGTAGATCCCACTCTTAAACCAGTTCTTGCTTCAGGTGAGTGAGTTCGACATTTTTTTTTCGCCTTCTTGATGTGTCTCTGTCATGATTATTTTGTTGTAATAACTAATAATGGAACGAACTACTTGTTTTATTGAAGGGCAAGATGGTGAGAAAGTGAGCTTAATAAAACTTGCAAGTCTCATCGAAGTGTCGGCGAAAAAAGGAACACAAAAGCTCAATCTCCAAGGAAAATTATCCGATCAAATCGAATGGCTTCCCGATTCGATAGGGAAGCTCTCGAGTTTACTCACATTGGATTTATCCGAAAACAGGATTGCAGTTCTACCAGAAACTATAGGTGGGCTCTCCTCATTACAAACACTGGATTTACACGCAAACAAAATCATCGAACTGCCAGAATCCATCGGGAATATGCTCAACTTGCTCCATCTCGATTTACGAGGAAACCAGCTAAAATCACTGCCTCCCACAATCGCTAGGCTAGTTCGTCTCGAAGAGCTCGATTTAAGCTCTAATGGGCTCTCGGTTCTGCCCGAGACTATCGGCTCGTTAGTCAACCTCAAGAAATTGAACGTCGAAACTAATGATATTGAGGAGATACCTCACGCGATTGGTCGGTGCACTTCTCTGGTGGAGCTGCGCGCGGACTATAACCGCCTCAAAGCCCTGCCCGAGGCAGTGGGGAAGCTCGGGTGTTTGGAGATTCTTACGGTGCGTTACAACAACATTAAACAATTGCCCACTACAATGGCGTCGCTGTCTAGTTTGAAAGAGCTTGATATTAGTTTCAACGAGCTGGAATCTGTGCCTGAGAGCTTGTGCTTCGCCACCACGCTCGTGAAGATTAATATAAGCAACAATTTCGCGGACTTGCGATCTCTGCCGAGGTCAATTGGGAATCTTGAGATGCTTGAGGAGTTGGATATGAGCAATAACCAGATTAGAATTCTGCCCGAATCTTTTAGAATGCTGACTCAGCTTCGTGTGTTGAAAGTCGAGGGAAACCCTCTGGAGGTGCCCCCGAGAACTGTAATTGAGAAAGGGCCTCAGGTCTAACTTCTCTCTCGTTTTTTTTTTTTTTTTTTTTTCGTTTTCTTATTTATTTATTATTTTAAATTTTCGCTCAGAAGGCTTAATGTAAGTTTTTGTACCTCAGGAAATTGTTCAGTACATGGCTAATCTTGCTGCGCAGAAGGACGTAAAGACACAGACGGTCAAGCAGAAGAAGTCGTGGGCGCAGATATGCTTTTTTTCGAAATCCAACAAACGCAAAAGAAGCGGTGGACTTTGCTAAAGCGAAAAGACTGATATGGTCATCTTTCTTTCCGATTTCCATGTTTTGCATTTAAATTTCTGAAAACATTTCCACAAATTCCGATTTTTTTTTTTTTTTTTTTGAAAAATTACACTTCATACAGATATAAGTATTTTATATCACAGGTAACTAAAAATAAAATCTGAATTTTGTGGATTCCGATCCAAAATTTTCTAATTTTGAAACAAGTTTTTTTATTCTTTCAAAATTCCGATTTCCGATTCTTCCAAAATATTCCGATGGAATCTTTATATTACTTTAGAGTGGTGAATTTAATGTTTTATATAACAGGAATCGAGCTCGATGATTGGAGGGGGAGAGGTTTTTCGATTTGCCACATTTTGGGACATCAACAAAGGAAGCTTTATGTTCAGATACGGTTCCGATCCTTGTTTTAACACATTATAGGTTCATCACATTTTATTTTAATTTTTTGTCATTTGCTGTATTTAATTTTTTTTTCTTTGTTTCGAAACAAAGATCTAGAAATGAGCTGTACATTATGTACAACCGGCATGAACAGAAAAGGGAAAGATGTAATTTTTACCACTTATTCTGTTGTGAAACTTAATTCACTATGTTGTAAAAGAATGAAACACTTATTTATTCTTTGATTAAATTATGTGTAACAAGTCGTCGAACCTCCTAGGGTCTCGTTTGGTTACAGCAATAAAAATTAGCCGAACGGGGATTATCCAATCTTGTTACGACCTAGTTGTATAGTTGGACTATGGAAGGGTCCGGTAGACGGTATCTTGACAACCAAACGAAGCCTTCTAGAGTTACGTTGTTTTTAGTGTGTCTGTGAGATTATCGGTTCCCGTATTTTATGCTATCTGATCTATACTTATCTGTCTTGCTTTGCTGTTCTTTGGGACCATCAACAGGTAATTGCCAATTTTTTTTTTTTTTTTTTTTTTATTCTTATTCTTAGCATTACATAAGATAAACGGTAAATTACGGCCAACCCCTTAAGGTAAGGTCAAATTACGAAACCCCCCTCATGTTTGGGTAATTACAACCGTTCCCCTCAACTACGAAACTTCTTCGCGTCTACATCTATGGTGTCAAATTCAACATAATTTTCTAGATTTCATGGAATGTTTTCTAGTTTGTACTCGTTTTGTGCAAAGATGCAGTTTTTGATGCATAACAATCTAATATTTACGAGAGCTCGAATGAGATAAGACGGGTACAAATTGGAGAATATTCCACAGAATCTAGAAGATTTAACTAAATTTGACACCGCAAGGGTGGACTGTAAGACGATTCATAGTCCAGGGAGGTGGTTGTAATTACCCAAATAGGAGAGTTTTTTTATAATTTGACCTTGCCTCAGGGGTGGCCGTAATTTACCCTAAAATAAAAGTCGAGATGCTGAAATGCTCGTCCTGGAAGTGGGAAATTCTTTTTTTATTTTTTATTTTTTTAATTTTTATCGTACTTGATAAATTTATTTCAAGCTACAATAAATGTTCTTTCTACCCACCTTAAAACTAAGCAAAGGGGAAAAAAAAAAAAGTAGAAGGCAATAAACTAATTAGTTATTTTCAGCAGCTAAAGATTGTTTAGCACCCACAGCAAAGAACTCTGTAATAACTTCAAGTGGCATGCCCTTAGTTTCCGGGACTTTAAGGTAGACGAAGAACCAAGCAACGGTGCAGACAGCAGCGTAAATACCGAAAACGCCCCCGAGGCCTATCGAGTTGAGCAGCACGGGGAGCGAGTACGTGACGATGATATCTCCAATCCAAAACGTGAGGGCACAAATGGCAATACAGATTCCACGAACGCGAGTTGGGAATATCTCCGCGCATAGAATGTTGGGTACCGGCCCGAATCCCATCACAAAGGTGCAGAAGTAAACGATAACGCTACCCGTTGAGATCACAGCGTGCGTCACAGTCCCCAGGTGAATGACGTTTCCGAGTACTAGCAAGATTAGTGTTGTCAGCAGAACTGGTAAAGTTGACAGAAGCAGCCACCTAGTTGTAAGAAGAAAGATCACAAATATTCGTACAAGTTACGACCCTTCTATTTCATAACATTTATCATGGTGCTTAATTAGTAAAATATTCGGAAACGTCGAAAAAAGATTATTACCTTCTGCCTGCAATATCCATGAGTCTCATTGCAACACCGATACTCGGAAGCATCAACAACGTTGTGAGACCGCTTATGAGAAGTGATGCAGATTCTGAACCGAGCCCCAAATTCGAGAGGAGAACGCTCACACCGGCTTGTTCTAAAATTTGAGGAGTGTAGTATAGGACCCCGTTTATTCCAGAAAACTGCGTGCCGGAATATTCATTCATCAAGTATTAGTAGGCTTAAAGTAATTTATAGTTTTGTTATTTTTTCGAATTTATATCTCCAGGAAATGCTAGATCGAGGGCTGATTTGATACATTTAGACGATATATTTTTATGCAATCCTAATCCTCGTATAACGGTTTATTGCATTTAGCACCCCTGAGTTTACTCTAATTGTCAAAAACACCCGGTGTAATAAATATTAGCCGAGCGCACCCTATAATTCAATTTAATTAGCAAATCACCCCTAAAAATGCATCGTTTAGGGGGGTTCGCTTAAAAAAATCCATTGTAGTGCTTTTTTTTTTTTTTTTTTTTGCTAATTTTTATATTTATAATACAAGGAGTTTCTTAGCAATTCGGTACGAAATCCAATAAACTGCGGTTAAAAACTTATTTACCTGTTGAAGAATTTGCAATCCAACACCAACGACAAGTGCATGTTTGACCCCCGGCTCGAAAAGATCCCTCCACCCCGCTCCCCCTTTAGCAGCAGCAGCAGCACCACCACCACTACCTTCAACTTGCTTATCAATCGCTTCGCCAATCGAACCATGACCCGAAACCCTATCCAAATGAAGAACCGATCGGCTAACCAAAGCCGCTGCATGAACCGGTTCCCCCTCACCCCCACCGAGCGACAAAACCGACCCCCTCCTCGACCCTGCCCCCACCATACCCCCAACCCCACCCCCCTCTTGGTGCAAGAATATCCTCTTCAAACCCCCCGAACTCTTCTCGTCCTTCCTATACGCCAGCTGCCACCCACCCCCTATCCCTACCCCACCCCCAACCTGCTCCCCGTTCGTATCCTGCCTCGAAAGCAACGGGCTCCTCAAATTCTCCTCCAACTCATCCTCTCTTCCGGAACCTTCCGAACCATCGCCATCTTCACCTATTATATCCTTGTGGTGGGGATTCTCCTCGTCCCATTCGTGCCCTACTTCATCGTCACCGTCGGTTTTGGTGTTGATCAACATGCTCCCGAAGTTGGAGAAGAGCATGCTCCCCATTTCCGGTACCTTCTCGTGGACGCTTCCGAAGAGCGTCACCATTGGGTCCATTGTGGGGATCATGCTCTGGCTTGCTGCCGCCGCCATGCTCCCGTAACGGGACACCATGCCGAGGGTGCTCTGCTGCCCCGTAACGGGCTTTGCGATCCACGATTGGCCCTCTTCCGCTCCGTATAGTTTTATTTGGTCTTTGTCTACTACCGCGTGGTCTTGCCTATCGTTGTTGTCTTGAGAGATTATATACTCCTCAATCGACGTTTCTCCCCCGATACCTAGACCTTCCACTAGCAATGCCAGTTCACCTGAAAAAAAAAACAGATACTTTGTCAAATCTTTAATAATTTGGCATTACCATGATTAGAAAAAAAAAAGGACTTCATTTCCGAGTTTTGTTACCGACGAGAGAATCATTAAATTAAAACCTATAAAAGGATACACCTACATCTCATCATAGTTATAATCTTCAATCTAGTAGTGTACTACCACAAACATGCAAGTGTACCCCTCGTGAAATAATATTACTACAATTACACCGTGAGCGTAAAATCGGTAATTTTTGAGGTATATTCCATATAACAAAAAAGATTCTGTCAAATTTCACACCGTAAATGGACTATGTAAGATGGCAACAACCTTTGGCTTTTTTTTTTTGGTAATTTGACCTTAGTTCAGGGGTTTCTCGTAATTTACACTAAATTAGTACGAACCCTTTAATTTCTCCTAATCAATTTACCTTTGATGGTACAAATTTGGTGTTTATATATACATACCCGATACATCTTCGGTTCCACGCAACATTTGAAGAACTTTTTTAGCCTCTCTCATCTTTCCTTTACTGACAAGCCACCTAGGCGACTCGGGCAAGAAAAGCACCGCAAGCACAAAGTACACTATCGACGGAGCTGATAGAACGCCGAGCATCAATCGCCAGCTAGGCGAATCCATCAAGGACATTCCAAACACCATGCAGTACGACAAGAACATCCCCACCGACCCCGTGAACTGCGGTAGTGTATTCAGCAGCCCTCGTATTTCCGGCGGGGCCGTCTCGGATATATAAACGGGCACGAGGGTGACAGCGAGGCCAATGCCGAACCCATCGAGTAGCCGTGCCAAAAGGAGTATTTCGACATTTGGGGCCCACAGCATTACTAAACCGCTCAAGAAGTATAGGATGGAAGATGCTATTAGCATGGGGCGGCGCCCTAGCCAATCGGAAACGGGCCCGGAGAATGTTGTGATGACCGTTGCCCCGATTAGTGACATGGCGACGATGAGGCCTTCTATTTTCGGCTGGCTCTGCAAATCGAACTCCCTTTTGATGTAAAGTACGGCACCTGAAATAATCAAGATGTATCAAATGTTTCGAGTTTCGGGTTTTTAAGCACGTGATTAAAAACGGTCCCGGAATTTCAATCAAGCATATGAATGATACAAAGTGTTAACTTCAATTCACACCTATTAGTACTCAGGATTATATAATTATGAATCACAAACATAAGACAATCAATCACACATTACATTATGGTGAATAATATACTCCAATACAATTCAATCAATCTTATCAATCCTATCAATATTTCCAAACGAGGACTAATTCTATATATTAGATTAATGAAATTAAATAATGAAAGATCAATGCATTATAGGATTTTTTTTTTCAGACATGATAAAAATCTGGAATTTACGAGAGAGAGAGAGAGAGAGAGAGAGAGAGAGAGAGAGAGAGAGAGAGAGAGAGAGAGAGAGAGAGAGAGAGAGAGAGAGAGAGAGAGAGAGAGAGAGAGAGAGAGAGAGACCTGCAATAGTAGCGTTATCCCATCCTTGCAGCAAGTTTCCGATGGCTGCTGCAATGGCGACTAACACAGCACCCCTCATCGTAGGTAAAATTTTTGAATCTTTGATTCTTTATAAATATTAAATAATATCAGGGAATTAGATGCATTCCTATAACATATAAACTATATGTTGTTGATATTATAATGTAATATTTGTGAGAGAATTCACAACTTACAACTGTATTCAACCTTCTTACACAAGACTACATGAGAGAGAGATGAAGAGAGAGAGAGAGAGAGAGAGAGAGAGAGAGTAGTTTGTGGTATAGGATTGGAAAAGCAGTTCAAAAGGGCGACAATGTGGCAATGCAAAGAGAGTCCTTCGCTAATTCTGTTTCTTTTCTTTGCCTCATCTCACAACCCCTTTATACTCGCTTCTAATTGTTGCCCACTGCACAAAATTCTGCCACGTCATATCATTAAAACACTCTAATAATAATAATAATAATAATAATAATAATAATAATAATAATAATAATGATGATGAGTAAATCAGCTATATTTTTTGGCATACTACAAATAAGCGCTTTCTCACAAAAAAAAAAAAAAAAAAAAAAACAAATAAGCCATCATGGACCCATGATATACTTATTTATAAATGAGTCCACACAAAAAACTCATTTACACAAAAGTTCATATAGATGTGTAAAAGACTAAAATCATTTTCACAATTTAATATGCTCCAATTTCATCCTTTAATTTTAATTTAATCTCAATTTGACCACAAATTTCACTAATTATTTAATTTTGACAAAAAACTCAATTTTAAGAACAATTTCGCCCTTCGCTGCCGTTGATAACCGGTATCTGGCATACATTTTTTTTCTATCTCCTTTTTTCAGCCGGTTTTCGGTGTTGACTTTTTCGATTTTTTCCCTTTCCTTATTCTTCTTTCTGCCGCTGTTGACCAACAGTCACGCCGGTCTCCGGCGGCGTTGATTTTTTAATTATTCATTTATTTAATTTATTTTTTCTTTCACATATTTTGCCCCGTTTAAACAACAATATTATTATGCCTTACAGTCATATTAACTATATTACTGTTAAACACAGTTATATTAACTATACTACAATTTAATACAACAATATTGTTATATTAGTCTCTTGCACATTAATATTAACAAAAAACAAAAAAAAATGTTATTGTGTAATATAATAATACTAATATGTTGACTGTTCAACAAAGACAAACATAATGAAAAATCAAAAGAATAAATATTGATGTGGTTGACAGTACTATTATTATCATCCAAAGTAATATTACTGTACAATAGTAATATTACTGCGACAACAATAATATTAACGTCAACCACATGCAGTAATATTATTGTGTTTACATTAATATTACAATAGTAGACATTAATATTATTACGTTAATCGGTCAACAACTCAAACAAAACAAAAAAGCGAAAAACAAATATTGATGTAGCTGAAAGTAATATTATTGTGTTTACAATAATTTTACCGTCGACGACAGTAATATAATTACGTTGACTTATCAACAAATCAAACAAAAAACAACAAAAAAATAATAATATTGTCACTGACAGGAATTGTACTGTCAACGACAGTACTATAACATAAATGTATTGTCAGCGACAGTATAATTACTGTTAATGACAGTAATTACTGTCAACGTTTAGGGGCAGACGTTAAAAAATGGATAAAACTTTTAGGGAATAAAATACTAAAAAAATGAAAAAACAAAAAAATTCAACCCCCGACACCGGCGGCCAAAAAAGCAGGAAAAATAAAACGTCAATGCCGAAAACCGGCGGTAAAAATAAGAATTTCAAAAAATAAAAGTAAAAAAAAAAATTCAAAATAGGATTTTTGTGGTAAAAATGGATTAAATTGGGGTTACAATTAAGAAATGAGTTTAAATTGGTAAAAAAAATCTTTATTTATAATACAATTAAGAAATGTGTTTAAATTGGTAATTTTTTTTCTTTATTTAATTATAATACATATTAAAGTGATGAACTTATTGACAAAAGAGATATAACCCGAGAAAAATAATAAAGATGATCAATGTTATCAGAACCGGACCGGACACAGAACCGCCGAGGCATTCGGGTCACAGTTAGACCGGTTACCGGGTTCAACCCGGGTTTTTATTTTTTTTAAGTTTTTTAAGTATTTTATTAATACTAGTAATTCACCCGTGCGATGCACGAGATCAATTTTTTCAAAAAAAATATTTTGGATAAAATAAAACGAACGAAAATTTTGAACAGTTGACATACATGTAAATGATACCCAAAAAAAATGTTTTATTGAATCAAAATATTAATTTGTTTGTGATTTACCTTCATATTCGCTGAAAATCTTTCGTGCACACAACATTGCTCATAATCCCAGTTATATCGCCTGATTCTGAGTTGATAAATATATTTATCTCAACTCTACTTTTAACACTGGACATTGCGGCGTAAATTGCCTATCCACCCTAATATTAACACTAATATTACACTAACAACAACTACTACTACTAATACTAAAACCAACATTGATAATACTAATACCTATACTAATATTAATACTAAAACCAACACTAATAATACTAATATTATTACTAATCATAATATTAATACGATGATTAATACTAATAGTCTAATACTAATATTAATATCAACACTAATAATAATAATAATAATACGGTACTTCTAATACGAATATTTAATGTTTAAACTAATACGCCAATACTAATAAGAAAACTAATACTAATACTAAGGGCATCTCCAATCATGAGCTTTTTGGGTTGCTAAAAGTTATAATTTAGGAATTATACCATTTATCAACAAAAAAATCATCTCCAACGGAGGATGTAAAATTTAGATGGCCATGTATATTGATGCCTCCAACTGCAATCTATAGCTGTTCCTATTCATGGCTGCTAAACTAAAATAATATTAAAATAATCAAAAGGTAACAAAAGCTAGCTAATATTATTTTTTATCATGGTAAAGTTGAAATGGTTGAAAAGTAATATAATATAATAAAAAGCTATAATATAACTAATGTGATTGGAGTAGATGGAGTAAAAGTGAACACGAAAATCATTATTCACAAGGTATAATACATATAGCATCCCTTTTTTTAGCATTCTCCTTTGGAGATGCTCTAATAGTCTAATACTAATACTAATACTAATATTAATACTAATACTAATACTAATACTAATGTTAATGCTAATGTTAATGTTAATGCTAATACGCCAAGACTAATATGAAATTGAATACTAATAATGATAATAATAATAATAATAATAATGATAATAACACTGATATTGGTATTGATACTGATACTGATATTAATATTGATACGAATATTAATACACATACTGATACACATACACATATTGATGTCGATACTGATATTAATACTATTATTAATATTAATACCAATACTAATATCAATACTAATATTAATACTAATATTCATACAAATAGTCATACCAATACTCATACCAATACTCATATAGATATAGATATTGATACAGATATTGATACTCATAATCATACTGATACTGATACTACTGATACTCATATTAATACTAATACTAATACTAATACTAATACTAATACTAATACTAATACTAATACTAATACTAATACTCATACTCATAGAGATCTTTTTCAAATTTCAATTTGCAATCTCAACAAATCCATAATCGAGACCTACTTCATAAAAATCAATCTCGTAATATTGTACGTCGATTTCTTTTCATTGGAATATCAAACCATTTTGTTTTAGGGAAATAGATAATTTCTCTAAAATGTTTTTTAATGATCCAAAGAATACACACGCATAATGTCCTCGTTGGATTGACAACATCCATTTTCACATATGTATATTTTACTATCTATTTCGCACATTATTTTTAATGTGTTTTTTCCTTCCCTGGTCAATGTAGAATTTTTGCTATATTATTTATATATTTCTCTAGTTAGTATAGATTTTTCTGCAAGAGCAGTACTTCTAAATTTTAATATGCTTGCACAAGCAATTATTCCTATTTCAAGACATACAAAATCAAACATTGTCACAAATACATCTAGGCACAATGTTGCTAATATATCATAATATTGGAATTAATGTGAATGAAGAAGAGTGAATCTAATGTCATGTACATAAAGATTCAAAAGATTAATAGCAAAAAAATATTATGAACGTACAAACTAATAATATTTTACGTAAATATTAAAAAAATGATAAAAATAAAAGAATTATTACGATACGTACAAAATAATATTGTAACATGAAAATATAAAAACTAAAGAAGATTTATTTAAATATATTCAACAAATCATATAAGAATCTCTATTACAAATAACGAAATACATACACGAGTTACTTTAGTATTTTTTTTATTATATTATCACATTCATTAAACTCAACTTCTTCTTCATCGAAACTAAACTTACAATTGTTGAATGTATAATCAAAGATGGAAAAACAGAAGTAAAAGTTTTTAAAATCCATCCATATAATATATCTAAATCATATCTTTGCATTCTACACAACGCCACAATGCTTCTCTCTTGCGGACGTCGCCGCATATAACACACATGATGTTATCCATGGATCTGAAAATTAAAAGGAAAGCAAAACAATGATTCGTTAGATTATTATACATACGCATACATAATAAACGTATAACGTAATAAACATTTGACGATAAATAAAATGCTTCAAAGCGAGCATGCACTTCAATTACAAAACATATTGATCGCATTATGAAATTACAAAACATAAATATGACAAAAAAAGTTTTAAGGTGAGGGAGGACATTGGTTTAGCATGATCATAACAAAATGTGTTGATAAAGAATGAGATAAATGAGTTTGTGTTGATGGTATTTATACTTAATTTTCACATACTAAATAAGTTAATAAAATAACTTTAAGCAAACAATATATTTTATTATTTTTTGTGTTACTCGGTTAGAACAAATCAAACAAATTCAAACAATTAGAATTAATAAGAATCCGAAATTATTGAGATGCATAATAAATAAATGCGATTGTTAGGGGTTACTAAAAAATATTCAAATCACATGTATTGATTTGATAATAACATTAAATAGTAATGTATTAAACAGAATCAGAAATAACATAATCAAGGAAACATAACAAAAATAACCAAACAATCAAATCAATTAATCTACCTC